GAGAGAGAGAGAGAGAGATGGGGGTTAACGTCCAGTCGACACAGACTAGGTCATTTCGGGACTAACATATGGTTCAATTTTATTTCCATAATTCGCTTGAGCGTAGGGGTCTTTAGCAGTGGGAGGAAACCGAAGGATCCATAGAAAACCCACGAGGTTGGACAGGCGACCCTACTCCTTGTCACGTACGACCGGGAAATCGATAAAACGTTAGTTGACCCAATAACAGACTTTATGATACAGCGCGCACGTGCTAACCATTCAGCCACACCCCCCCCCCCCTATATCATAATGAAGTAAAGTGACTTATTTTTTACCTGGACGTATTTTTTAAAAAAAAATTTATGTATTTATCTACCGTACTTTATTTACTTTATATAGATATAATTATTTGGCACAAAAATGTATACAACACAATAAATAAAATCGTATGAGGGACATTTTGCCCGGGCAGCAAGTGAATTGAATTCTAAATGTCAAGGGTTCTTTTACGTGCACCCCAACGTGTACACGGGACCACAGTAGTGTTTCGTGCTATTTTAACGACTAGGCACTGTCATTGTGCTACAAATCAATCTCGTTCCCAAAACACCATAATCCCCCTTCTTATTTGGATTCTAATTGGTATGCATTGTTTTAGTACGTGAGTGCTCTGCACTTTGCATATGATGTCTGTTCTACATAATATGCCACTTTTTCCTCTCTCAAATAGTACCAAAAACAACACGGAATTTTCAATTGACAACATCATATTATCCCGCGGCTTCTTTTTGGCACCTCTACTTACTACACGAAAGTTGTTCCCCTTGACATTACACACGCGACTGTATAAAAAAAACATAAACTTTGATAGTATCCAAATTACGGATGCATTATGTTGACGGGGCCTTTCTGTCCTTTCTTTCAGATAAGATTAGGGTGGGCATGTATTTCAGACCAAATGGAGATTCACCCTGCTTAGTACAAGCGTTGCTTCTGTTCCTACAATTTGACATTTTCATCGAATATTTTTCTACTTACATGTCTATACTCACACTGGTCAGCAGTGAATATTCACTAGGCCGCGACAATCACTGATAAGGATGACATCGATGCGACTTTATGAGCCACAAATATTACCTTTTTTCCTCCGACAAATTTAATTCTGAAACAAAAATAAAAAAAGACGTTTGAAGTATTAGTAGGTAAAAATTATTTTATAAATTTTAGTGTAAGTGGGTATTAAAATGAGTAAAAGGCGCCATTCTGCTCGAATCAGTAACGTCTTATGTAAACATGCACGCGCCATTGAGCCAATGATTGACGCCGCGTGATATGACGTCATGTGTTGAAGGCAGTCATCTTTTACAGAAATATTAGAAATAATACTCTGTGAAACAGACTGGTTTATACCATGTTGTTATTTAAACGTGTAAAATACAAGGTCGACACAGTCTCATCATGGGGGGTTGGATGGCTGAATGGTTAGCGTGCGCGCTCTGTATCATAAAGATTGTCATTGAGTCGACTGGCGTGGTTTCGAATCCCCGGTTGTACGTGACAAGGAGTAGGGTCGCCTGTCCAACCTCGTGGGTTTTCTCCGGGTCTTCCGGTTTCCTCCCACTGCTAAAGATCCCTACGCGCAAGCCAATTATTGAAATAAAAAATAAACCATATGTTAGTCCCGAAATGACCTAGTTTGTGTCGAGTGGACGTTAAACCCAATTTCTCTCCATTCTCATCATTTGGATATAGTTTATATTGATTTAGAGCATTAAAACCAAAGTTGTAGATAAGATAATCTACCGATGTCGATGTTAGTGGATACAGACGCATATAGATGACAACGTGAAACCAGACCCGTAGTCACTATACAATTGCAAAATTACATTACGATATCGATTGAATATGTGAATTATCATTACTTTTATTTGTCCAAGACATAAAAAGATGGTGAGGTAAAATCACTAGAAACCAATCCCAACTTCAAAAGGCAATCTTAAAGTCAGAACTGATCAGTCGGAATTTGTGTGGGAACGAAGTGATTTTGATAAAATATTATTTTTAGAATGCATGAAGTTATACTGGAATGTTGGGTCGTATGGGTGTTTTCGGGAATGTTGGGTCTACATGTATAATTGATTTATTTCAATGTGCCAGTGGGTGTAATCCATGCCAAAATATGAATTTTTTAACCCAAAACATAACCCAAGTCGGGCGTGGAGAAAACTTCAAAGATGACACGTGTAGTTTTATTGTTACTCTGAGAGACATAAAACTGAGCATGATAGTATGCAACCGACGTGGCGCCCTACTTATTTTGATTGACGGGCTGTCAGTCATTATGACGATCGCGAGTAGATTTCTATACATAACGGGACAATGACCCTCGCTGGATCACCTCATACTGTGTTGGGTCACCCTTTTAAACTGAACATAAATTCAATTAATTATCAAAATTTAATTTTGAAAGATGAGGGAAGTATACATTCTCTTGTCCAAGGCTTAGCGGCCAAAACTGGTTAAATATCGGTGTGTGTGTGTGTGTGTGGGGGGGGGGGGGTTAACGCGTGCGCGTTGCATCCTAAGGTCTGTCATTGAGTTAAGTGGCGTATTTTCCATTCACCGCTTGTACGTAACAAGGTGTTAAGTAGGGTCGCCTGTCCAACCTCGTTGGGTTTCTCCGGGTCTTTCGAATTTCCCCCCAATGCTAAAGAACCCTAAGCGCAAGCGAACTATTGAATTTAAATCTAAATATATGTTAGTCCAGAAATTACCTAGTTTGTGTCGAATAGACGTTAAACCCCATCTCCCTCTCCCTCTCTCTCTCTCTCTCTCTCTCTCGTTAACTATTGACCGTCTCCACTACAATCTATAAAACACACCCATTCCACCAGTTCGACATCACAAAAAATAGGGTTTACAGTTATTATTTGGTAAAGAGCAGACTGAAATGTTGCTTCCCGGACCCAATTACCCCCACCCACACAGGTAAATAAATTTAACTGGATGTTAGTCTTAAAATGTGTCGAAATGAAATGAAATAAAATGGGGGTTAACGTCTTACTGTTCTGTTCCGACTGTACAGACATACGGTTATGAGGGAAATTTTTGCCCGGACAGTGGCGCTATGGCCTAATCTTACATGAAATACCAACTGTCAAGGGGTCTTTTACTTGCACACCAATGTGTACACAGGACCCCCGTTTGTCGTCCCATCTGAACGACTATACCTTGTCCCTTGTCCGTTTTGCACCACTGAACTCTCTCGGCCAATGCAGGCTCAAACACGGATTCTCCAGGTTAGCGAACGAACGTTTTACTCATTGAGCCACCGTGCCCCCCCCCCCCCTGCCACCCTCCCCAACGTGTCGACAAGAAGTAAAACCCAAATTCATTTCATCAGTAAAAGTGTATGCTCATTTTGTCATCCAGTTCTACGGAATAATAATGTTGTTATTCATTACCGATAACTCTAGTCAAGGGATTTAACGCAACATTAACGTCTGAGCTAAAGACTGTCCTGCACAAGTCGAGCTAATGAAAGTGAGTATACGCCACGCCGTGAGCTGAGAAGGAATTTTTGCCCGGACAGCAGCACCACGATCTTCTCTTATTTCGAATTTGTAGGTCAGGTGATTATAAGATTATTTTGGTTTTTATTTCCTGATATGAAACTCATTTAGAATTGACAGGTCATTTAAATGAGAAATTGGGCCTACACATTTTTAAAGGAATTTACACAGGCTTCTAGGGTCGTTTTCTGTTGTCACTGACAGCGTGAAACCGCTCAAAGCGCCGAACCTATTATGCAATGGCGGAGAGTAAATATTTATGTCGTATCTGGCATATATTACGAAAATAAGCCTTACAACTACGACAATTTGAGTACGATGATTTGATCTGATTTTAGGAATTTTAGCAATCATCTTGGGCTTTGCGGACGAATTTGGATAAAAATGGATACGTTTTTTTCTGCAGTGGGGAACCTGGCATGTAAAAGTGTCTAGTCGTTCGGATGGCACGACAACTCGAGGTTATGTGTATAATAATCGAAATTAGAGTAGGTCGCAGTGCGGTTATCTGGGCAAAATGTCCATACACATTACATAGTGTGTGTCAGCCTTGCTTAGTCCGTCTGCAGCAGAAACGCAAAACGTTAAACTCCATTTCATTTCGCTTTGACCCCGCAGCAACAATAGTGTAACCCAAAACGTATTACCAATATTTTTGATAAACCTCGAATAAATCGTTTCTTTTTTTACACAAATATTTTCAAAAGTTATCAACGTATCTTTTGTATTATTTCATTTATTACAACCAGCCTTTCAAGATTTTTGTTTTGTTGGAATAGTGTCTATTGTTTTATTCTGTCAAACAATGCCTTTCTTATTTTATATTATATTTTTATGTGTCTGTCCGGGTACATTTCATAACATTTATGACACCTATGACGTAATATACTAATTTACGATTTCCTAATAACATTAGTGTTGGCAAATACGCTACACACAGCAGTCAATGGTAATATGATTTACATTAAAATACTATTTATTGTAAATTAATATAGAGAAATATATACTCACGTTTCTGTCTTTAAATTACATGTTTGTCTTTGTCTGAAAAATGAATTACTTTTAGATGATTTCTAACTTCGACGGATGCACGTATGGATTTGGTAAGTGTTAACATGGACCAAGTCGTCTAAATAGTTTGTGATTTAAGATTTATACGCAATTGGCCTATAATAAAATGAGGTCAATTCGATTAGATTCGAATTATACTGTTCCAGTAGAATTTCAGACTATGGGGCGCTAAGCTGTTGTAATTATTTTAGCTTACGCTTAAACTTTGTCCTAAAAACAAATAGGCATAGGGTTCCTCTTAATACTCCAACAAACAATTTCATCAAGTTTGAATGAAATAATTCTACGTAAAACGTTATCTTGTATGGTGGTCTGTACCCATGTTAACATAACAGGGAATTATCCGCCCTTGTTTCTTTATCAACATCCGGTTATTAAATGTTTACCTTAGTAACGCACCGAGAATACTAACAACATTCTCTCCTCGATGTAAGTTTATTTTCTCCATTTACTGTTGTGTCAGTACATTGAATAATTAGACATGGAGACGAATTTCGAGGAGATCCGGAAAGAGGGGAGACAGGATTGGAACCAAACTAGTACTGGCGTTGGCCATCAATATCGTCCGGGATACTATTTTCCCGACTCGCAGTATCGGAGTTTGATCAACGAACCTTTGCCGGCGGGTTTAGCAAAACCTGACGAAGTTATCGAGTGTAGAAGATATGATACGACTTCTGGTAAAGCTTATGATAGAAAATATCCTGGAAATACGTATAGTAACCCTATTCATTACAAATCTCCAGGTCATTGGAAACTAAATTATGTCAAAGATCACGTAGAAAAACTAGGCAATGGCGGCTGGAGACGTCCATTGACGATGGGAAACCAAAAAACAGAAACACAGGACAAATTTTGTGCCGAGCCAGGAATACGGGATAAATATTTTTTCGAAGAGGTTTATTATCCACAAAATTTCGTTTTACAAGATCACCACAAAGATGGGCCATCCAAGGTCGGTGTAGGTAGTACTACAAACGATAAATTGAAAGGTCGTCCATTTAAAGTTGGTGATTGCGGAGTCTTGCCATTACTAGACCCTTATCTTTCCACCAATCATCAGGTACATCGTCCCTTCAAAAGTGCGGAATTGAAGAAATACCCAAAGAAAGATGTGGCAACATATTGGGAATGCGAAGAGTATCCGAAAACTTGGGGATTTGGTTTGAAACAAAACCCTTTACCTAAGGATAATGTTCCACGGGACCGACTACCAATGAGAGATACCTTGATTTTCCCAACTAAAACGAAAATACCACGGCAACCGAAAGCATTGATTCCTGTTCCACATTCTGGTTTAAAAACAATTTATAAAGATCAGTATTCGAGACCATCAGACGTGAGAATGAAAAATAATTTTTACTGTCCAGTTGATACTCCATATACTTTACCAGATCCTGGAAGCAATTCAGCGATGACAGCACCAAAAATGTACAAAACGGAATATAATAATGTGGGTAGTGGAAAGCCTATTGTTGTGTAAAGAATCCAATTAACCAAATTTCTTAAGAGCTTTGAATAGATATGAGATTGACAATCTGCTCTGCGGAACTTCAATAATTTCCAATCAAAGCAAAATTATTTCAACTAAATGACATGCCATTGTTTTTATTAGAAGTGAAATATTTGTTAAGTTAAGAAAAAACAACTGTGATATGATTTTAATTTATACATGCATGTCAATATTGTTATTAGAGAGATATTCATCTACTTGTGGTCCCAAAACAAGGACCTGTTACACAGCTAGGTGTTGGTTAAATTAAGAAAAATTAAAATTGACAAAACATTTTAAGCATTATCATCTGTCTTTGTGTGTTGAGTGAACAATTTTTTAGTTGGAATTTTAAATAAATTCAACGTCATTTAGTGCAGGTCCTGACCATGTGAAATATTAATTTAATGGATAAATTGTAAATATACTTATGTGACTTGGCAATTATTTATTATTATTAGCACAAATTGTTAACTGTTAATGTATTATTTTTTAAATGTAAGGAAATTTTATTTCATACAGGTATATCATTTTGCCTTGGTTCCCAGTTTCACTAGCTTCCTTGGTTCCCAGTTTCACTAGCTTCCTTGGTTCAGTTTCACTAGGTTCCTTGGTTCAGTTTCACTAGGTTCCTTGGTTCAGTTTCACTAGGTTCCTTGGTTCCCAGTTTCACTAGGTTCCTTGGGCATGAGACACAGCTGTATCTACTTTATAACATCTGTCAATTGATTTATCCTACATGGCTTCATTTTTCATTTTCTTCAACTGTTCATTATTTATTACCTCGAGATTTTGATTCCCTATTTGTACGTGACAAGGAGTAGGGTAGCCTGTCCAATCTCGTGAGTCGAGGGTTTTCTCCGGGTCCTCTGGTTTCCTCCCACAGCTAAAGACACCTACGCGCAAGCGAATTATTGAAATAAAATTGAACCATGTGTTAGTCCCGAAATGACCTAGTTTGTGTCGAGTGGACATTAAACCCCATTCCTCTCTCTCTCTATGTTTATTACCTGTAGGAAAGTATAAAATTTGTAAAACGTTTGAGTGTTATATTTAAGAGATAAAAAGGCTATTAAGACTTAGTATGGGTGTTATATATATGTCATTTAGAAATTTTAACTTGGTATAATTTCCAGCTGGGTACTGTATTTTTTACCATTTTACTTGCAAATATGTTTAGGCTTATGTCTCATTATTTTGTATCTTAAAAAGACTGTGTAAACGCGCAACACAGACTAAACAAGTAAAGTAATATTAGGTAATGTGCATTGTATATATAGATCCCTAACTGCTGAAAACTTTAATTAAATTAACTATACTATCAATTACAATGTAATTATATTAAACCCATGATTTGTTAACATGTAACTGCTGTAATAATAACTATTGTAATAATAATAAACTAAGAATGATTTTTTAATAAAACAAAAAGATAACGTAATTTACATAGTTGTTCCCCATTATTGTATTATTCCCACTGATGTCTGTTGTTATGTCAGCATTTTCTGATGAACACTCTACAGTTTTGACAGTTGTTTTATTCAAATTTGCAGAGATTGTTCATTGGATCGTAAGGAAAAATCCAAAAGTACTGAGTTATCTCCCATTTTCGTTCAAATGTATGTAATCATGCGGTTGTGATAAGAGGACAAATATCCTGGAATCATTAGGGTATAGGGCAAATTTTAAAAAAAACCATTTTATAAGGGAGTTATCTTCCTGGTCAACTTTTAAAGCATTGTGAACACAATACAGGCCAAAATTTGTATGTGGAATTTTTAAAACTAGGAGGGATTGCTTAAATTTATGAAGTCTTAACTAATATAAATGGCGAACCGTGGTGGATCAGTGAGTATGACTTTGGCTCAGTAACCTGGAGGTCCTGGGTTCGATCCCAGTGTTGGTCATGAAAGTTAATCAGGATTATTTGGTGTGGTTCCCCCTTGCAGTGGTGCAGGACACAGGGTCTAGGAAGGGACAATGTATAGTCATTGGTCGTGAATGTTAATGTGGATTTTTCGGAGTGGTTCCCCTTTGCAGCAGCGCAGGATGAAGGGACAATGAATGTATAGTCATTCAGATTGGACAAAAAACTAATGTCCCGTGTACACATTAGCATGCTCGTAAAAGAACTCCTGAGAATTGGAGTTCAAAATGCAGTATAGTCTTTCCATATATAAACACAGCTTGTGAATGGGATACAGGATCAAACTCATGACACAGACAAATAAAACGCTTTATGAACTACAGCACAAGTATGAAATCCCACTCCACAGACTACCCATTTAATAATTGTGATCTGTGACAGAAGTCGGAAATCATTGTTACAATTAACAATATAAGAAAAACTATGTTGAAATACGCTAAAAATATATAAAAAAAAGTTTTGTTAGCTTTATTTTTCAAATCTAAATTTTTACCTTTTAACATTTTTGTTCAGATTGTAAAAGACTTTCGACTCATTTTTCTATCACAGGTGACAAAATTAAATGATAACAAATTGAAGTAAATATTTGTTGTTTTTATTTTTGTTAAAATATTTAAATATTCTTATAAAATTAATTAAGAATGATCATACAAAAATAGTTTGATAAATTATGTAAGTATGGTAATACAAAAATAGTTTGATAAAATCATGCTTTAATAAATATACACAATTAATCAATCTTATTTTTAAGACATACCATATTATTTGTTGTAATAACAATTTCTATTGAAAAACGATTGAGCATTATTATAGGGGTATAAAAATTATTATATTATTGCACTTCTGAGGTTGTTTGCTCATGGTGAACTTTGACCTTGCATTTTATTACGTTAGGTGACAAGTTTGTCCAGAACATTGAACAAGGTCCGATAAACGTGATTTCAGTTGTTGAAGTAACTTAGGTGGGATTGAATATATAGTATTGACTATTTCCCAAACATCAGCATCTAAATTATACACTTCTACAAAATTCTGAAAAGAAATACACAAAATACATGTTAAATACAAATGAATGAGGTTTAACGTCTTGTTGGTCTGCAGCAACAAGGCCAATGAAGATTGCCATTTGCCATGCACTGTGTTATGAGACAAATTTCTGGATGGTAAATAGACAATTTACAAAAGCTGAAAAGAAATGGAGAGAGAGACAGAGAGAGACAGAGAGAGAAATGGGGTTTAACATCCAGTTGACACAAACTAGGTCAGTTGGGGACTAACATGGTTCAATTTTATTTTATTAATTCGCTTCCACGTAGGGGTCTCTTGTAGTGGAGGGAAACCGTAGGACCCAGAGAAAACCCACAAGGTTGAACAGACGACCCTACTCCTTGCCACATACAAGCGGGGTATTAAAACCATGCTACTCAACTCAATGACAGACTAACGATGCAATTCACACGCGTTAACCATTCGGCCACCCGACCCACCATGAATTGAAATGGACCAACATGACAGCGATGTTTCCACCTACTTTATATCAAATTCCAACAGCAAGGATTTTTTTATTTTCACGCCAATATGGAAACCGGACATTAGGCCTTCTGTCCTGCATCACTGACAATTGGCTAACCATACTAGATAATCGTGAGGAACTCTCTCAGCCAACACTAGTACATTAGTGAGTCTGCATCTTATTCACTAAGCTATGTGGTTCCCCATAGGAATAAACATTGGTAATTTAAATATAATTTTGTTTAAAGATACATTATGGGAGATTAGATAAAGAGCTGGTAGTACTCACTAAAATAGTTAAAAACTTGATAATGTCAAGGGAATTTGCTGAAAATTTCAGGCAAATTTATCCAGCCTGAACTGAGTATTTAGCGATTGAATTTTGGGCTTAGCCTCGATCATCACTACTAAAGTCAGTATGATAAAAAACATAGTCTTGATTATCAATTGTTTGATTTATTCAGAAGCAAGAGACCTGGTTCTAATCCGAGAGTTGATTATGGTCTGGATAGCTTAATCAATGCATGTCTAATTAATAATTTAAATAACATTTCAGGCCTAAAGAAAGACCGGCAATCAGCAGATTTAGCTCTTGCATAAATTATGTATGTTTAAGCAATCAAATAATATGACTTGCATTTTTATTGGGGTGCAGGAATAGATGTATATTCACAAAGGGTGAATACATTTAACGTAATTCTAACTTACATCTAGATCCAGTAAATGACAATATTTATAATTCAATGTGTCTGACATTATTCTTGCACAATTATACGTATTGTTCCATGAATCTTCACAAACACAATCAGGATTACAATTCTATAATAAAAACATATAACAGTTGAAATTTTTAAAAGATGAATAAAATTGTTACCGCAAGAATTGTGGACAATGGACGGACAGACGGTTTGCAAAATTAGAATCTTAAAGCGAGAATTTCATATTTTCCAAGAAAGTCAAAACATAATTATTTCTATGTCTTTTGCTCAATAGGTTGTCAACTCACTATTATACGATCATAGGTATCATTCACACACTTAAAAACCATTCACCCCGAAAATAATAACACAATTACCTCCCTTGTTTTTTCTATTTCCTCCCCATGGAATAGCTATCTTCAAAGTTCAAACGTTTGAATTTGAAGTTGAAAATGATATTTTTGCCAATTTCTCAACTGGCAATAGTGAATTATAGGATTATTACGATTATTCTTTAACAAGGTAGGACTGTTTATAGATACCATCTATTTTAAGGCTTTATTTTAATACATTTTAAAAATATAACTTAAAAATATGAAATTATCGCTTTAAGGGGGCATTATGTAAGATATAGATAAAGAGCTGACAGTTCTAGCTATACTAGTAAAAAAAAATAGATAATGAAAAGGGAATATGCTGAAAATCTCAGTCAAATTACTTTCCTCTGAGCCAAGTTATTGCTGTTAGAAGAACAGTGTAGACTTGATTGTCATTGCTACCGTTGTCATGATAATAAAGTCTCGATTATCCATTTTTAAATTAAATCATAACTGCAAATCGTATTTAAACCTGTTGAAAACGTAGAGCCTCCAATGGCATTGAGAGTTAATTATTGCCTTGGCAAGTCAATAAATGTGTAATTAATAATTTATATAACGATTACGGCATAAAAAGATCTGCAATAGGCAGATGTAGCTCTTGAATAATGCCCCTTTATTTTGAATATTGGTCGAGCTCAACAATGTGCTGTAATCATTTACTATATGTTCTATATTTTGTTGAGCAGTTTTGTCTATTATACAGAACAATCTTTACTTACACCCATTCGTTGTCCGGTATATTGCGGACATCCTTTTACTTCCTCTGCAGACTCTCCTGTGTGTTCTATTAAAATGGCTGTCCTATTTAAATTGTTTTTACCACCACCATTTTTTAGTAATGGTAGTAGTGATAAACCGTCCATCTGAGGTCCTGGTGTAGCTCCAGCAATTTCAATAAATGTTGGTGCTAGATCTATATTTATTACCATATTCTAGAGAAAAAAATAATTTGCTTTAAGAACTGTGTGACAGAACTGGTTAAACATGTTCCAGATATAGTTTTAACACAGAGATCATTGCTACGATAGATGTGTAATGAACATTTGAAGAAACATGAAGTGACACAAAAAATGAAAAACACGAATTATCCCTATATATAACTGACTGAAAGAACGAGCGTTAACAGATACACAGTAAGTTATATATATCACGTTTTCCATTTTTGTGTCACTTCCTGTTTCTTTAAATCTATGTTACGCATCTATCACAGCAATGATTTCCGTGTTAAAATTATATTTGGAACGTTTTTAACCTGCGTGATAAGTATCAATTATAAGAATCACCACTGGACTGGTGCGCTCGTTTTAGTAATTATAAATGTATGATAATTCAATGCTTAATAATACTAACTAAAGCATCTACCGGTACAAGTATTTCAATGTGATCAAGGGAAATAACTCAGACATCAAATATATTTTTAAAAAATATGCTTCTGCGTTTCGTGAAGATAAATACTGTACATAAATATCAAGTCAATGGGATGATAACTTGTCTTGAGTATATTTCCACAAGACAAATGTGACGACAATATTGTTATTAAAATATCTTACGTCTAATACTTGTCCGGGTGTTATTCCTGGTCCACGAATCATTAACGGTACCCTTATATCAAACTCATATAACTGACGTTTATCTTCTGGCATAGAAAACTGACCTGAAATATAAATGATATTAAATGTGTTGTCGACTAGAAATGAACTAAAACTGGTGGGATGACATTTAAATTACATTTCATGAATATCTTTAAAACTATATGAAACGGAATGTGATTTAACGTCCTAATTTTCGGCACCAACTGGGCTAATGAAGACAGGCATACACCATACAGTGGTTTTTCATTCCATTCGAATGACTAAACACTATGTTCCTCCTTGCAAGGCCCTCTTTCTGCACTACGAAGTAGGGGAAACTATGTGGAAAATCCTAATGAACTGCCTCAGCCAACAGCTGACCTCCTGATTAGCGAGCCAGTACCGCCCTCACCGAGCCACCACCATTCCCATTAATATCTTAGTACTAGTAGCTCTTTTCCACAAGTATTATGTTATAGTTCATTACTTTATCCAGTTACTAGAGAGAGAGAAATGGGGTTTAATGTCCACTCAACACAAACTAGGTCATTTCAGGACTAACATATGGTTTGACAGGCAACCCTACTCCTTGTCACGTACAACCGGGGAATCGAAACCATGACAGTTGACTAAATTACACATCTTGTGATACAGCGCGCACATGCTAACCATTGGGCCATTCCTGTAGCACCATAGGTCTTTTGTCTGACGTGGAGAGCGGGCGTATATGTCGGAAAACCGGTCGCCACATCCTACATACGACCCATGCATCTTTTCTTACTACATATTTCTGTAGCCTTGTGATCGTCTAGAATTTGTCTCTAGCTGTCTTTACTTCTTCTTCACGTTGTGTATTTACTTCTTACAGTTTCTTAAGACGTTTGTCTTACCAGGAATAACAATGCAACAGTTCGCTTCTTCATTTTATATAGCATAGCCGAATACATATGGATACAAGCATAATAGATAACAATACTAGCTAAAACCATTTCTCAACCCTATCCAGCCTCGCGACTGTCTAGGAACTCAGATGGAACCTCTCTGGAAACTAATGGAAGTCTGACTTACAGGGTTCCACGGTTTCTTTTAAAGGTATATGAATATCATGCAAAATAAAGCGTGATCATGGCCCTGAACTTGTGTAATTAACAAAATGATTGGTTACTTTAAACCCAATGACACAATAGTACTTTTCCTTGCACATGTACTCTCTGTTAGGGTGACCCATGTACTCACAGAAATACAGTCCTCCGCTGATAGTTCAAGACTACCACTGAAGCGTGCACATTCGCCGTGCCGAGACCAACTTTCTGGTAGTATGATACTATAAATAGCCATGGCACGTGCAATTCTCTACAAATCTATCAACTATTACAGCCGTAAAAAATTTATTGTTGACGATTTTGAATAGCAGTAAAATTAAGCTTCTTGGTTATTACAGCAGATTTGGAAATTACTTTCGTTTCATTTTTTAAATCGCTTTATCATCTTTTGGTTTAGTACAAATAATATCTCTGAATCACTCGGGTTAGACAGGAACATGATACTAGCAGTAGTTTCATTTTACTTTTACAAGCTTCTTAAAACGATTGTTGAGCTACCTAACGTGCTTATTTCTAAATTCAATTTCTTGTTCTAGCTTTCTGTTATGTTTCGTAAAAAAGTAGTCTTGATTATCCCGACCTGTCAATCAGACGTAGAATGGTCGATAGACGGGTTAAGCGAGACTAATTTCAAAACAAGGGCACGTAACCTATCTTTTACTCAAAAGTGTCTGGATGTTATGGACGACTCTTGGAACCAGTTATCAGTCTATTATTTATACATGATTAATGGTCATAGCTTATTAAGTACAACATGATCGTTTATTAAGTGACTATAATTGTGTGAAACTGATTTGAGGCTTGGCATATATATAAATATTGTGGCGTAATTGTCGAGATATATGGAGATATTTATTTATGGTGGGTCCCCCTATCTCTGTGATATTTTATAGACACATGTTTTTGGTTAAATAGCTCTTTTTTATATAACAATATGTCAATTACAGACTAAGTTGATTTAGTACAATTCTACATATGTGGGAATCTACCAACTTGCCAAAGATATTAAATAATGAAATATACTGCCACCATTAATTTCAAGAGCAAAATTTCTAACAATATTATTACATTCCCCCCCCCCCCATCCAGTGACTAAATGACTTTAAATGATTATGAATTATCTTAGTGCTTTTCATTCAAAACTATCTTACCTAAATGATATCCATTGTCTGATGAGAAGACAACATAAGTATTACCCAATAAGTTTTTACTTTGTAAAGTATTCATAACATCTTCTACCATATCATCAACTGATAATAACGTTCGCCATCTTGATAATAATAAAAAAGTTATAAATTAAATAAATAAATGTCTTGTCTTCATATAAACTACGCATCATGAAGCCCTCTAGGAGGCCTTTTTCATAAAAAAAATAACCATATCAATTCAGATATTTTTCTTGGGATAAACTATGCATGAAGGCCCCTTTAAGTTCTTTATATAAATAAATTCAAATTTAAAGATGTATGTAAGTTTGCCCATCATGTTTCGTCGCCACGATCCAGCTCACATATGTGGTATCAAATTAACCAGTATGACCCTGTGATGTTTTAGACCATGATGTATGAAGGTCAGCGCAGACGAACGGTTTTACTGCAATTAATGGTTAACGGGAGGTAACTGTGTTTATTATGGTAAATAAGTTTATAATTGTAACGATGAAATGGATGATGTAAGCTAGCGGGAAAGTCTGCAAGAAAGGAGGATGGCAAGTAAGAAGACCTTGGGATCCGGGCGATGCCGGGTATTGAGCTAGTTTTGATAACATATAGAGATATCAATTTTAACATTTCCATATTTTCATTGAGATAAACTAGATTAAACCATCTATATAAGTCATTTTTCTTCAAAAACATTTCAGAATAAACATACCTGTTTCTAAATATATTATCTATTGTGGTCACTGTGTCATTAGTCATAGGGGTGATGGCATGTTCTATTAACCAATGTTTTAACTGAAAATAATACAAACTAGATACAGTACTATAATAACAAAATACAACACAATCTGGATATAACTACTTCTCAGTTATTTAAAAACATGACCTGTATGTTTTACGAAACGTTGTTATTAAATAACTGAGATATACCTTGTGTTGTGTTTTGTTATCAATGTATGCTGTGGATATATTACACATTGTAGGCACATCATACTAGATTTAATAAATAAAACAATCTTAATGGCTTATAGCTCAGATTTTAAATAAAAAGTTGTGCAATACTTTTAAGGCAGAACTATAGCCTGTTTCAATAGTCAATAATTAGTCTGAACTCTTTCCCATATCAATTTCGTGCTACAGAAGACCATCAACTTATCACAACACCACAGTGATTCAGTGAGAAAGGTGCTAGCTCACTATAATCAGAAAGTCCCAGGTTCGATCTGGCTTGTGATTTTCCAGCCTGATGAAAAAACAAGGTCCTGTGTATACATTGCTGTGCATGTCCAGGCAAAATCGCGCTCATAGCATACTGCATGAGAGAGAGAGAGAGAGAGAGAGAGAGAGAGTTTAATATCCACTCGACACAAACATAGGTCGGTTAGGGACTAACATATGGTTCAATTTTATTTCACTAATTTGCTTGCATGTAGGGGTCTTTAGCATTGGGAGGAAACCGGAGGACCCAGAGAAAACCCATGGGGTTGGACAGATGACCCTACTCCTTGACCCTACTCCGAGAAATCTAAACCATGTCATTTGACTCAATGACAGACCGTACGATGCAATGCACGCGCGTTAACCATTCAGCCACCCAAGCCCTCCCCCACATGGCATGAGGTACGCCTTTCTCGATTAATCAATTTCATTTCAGTTCTCACAAGACAATCCAAGATAATGACCCTTTCAAAAATAATTAACATCATAACGCATTATAATCTGTATATAAATTCTGAATTCAAACACTTACAATACCATGTGTATTGAAGATAGGATCCCGAGGAGCTTGAAGGTCGGAGAAAACATCACTATATTGTGGAGCAGGTGTAAATGGTCCATGACAAGCGGGAGTTGATAACATCATAAAGAAAGGATCGCTGTTCTCATCCTGCAGTTTCAAAAAATCCATCCCACTTCTGTGCTATAATAAAAAAAATAAATGAAATGGGGTTTAACATCCTACTGTAAAATAAAAGAGTTTTGGATGCTGATCTAATATAAGGCCACTGGCAATATATCATCCATAAAGGCAAATAGATAGAATGAAAAGATTGTCAAATCACTTAACCTGAAATAAATCAATGGCTATAGCATAACGAAAATTGCTTGTTTCTCAGACAATTGTTTTTCAAAACGGGCCAGGTAGGTTGGAACTGAAGCCCTTTCATTTAGTTTTGGGAGGATATTTTGGGGTGGACTTTGTTGTTCTTTTTAAGAATAAATTTGGTCACTTTGAATTGTGAGAATGTATCTTAGATAAGTATATATATGGTTTAAATTGCCAGAAGGGTTGCCCTTTGAGTTGTCTCCCTTGAACTAGGTTACAGTCAGGATATTTTATTCTGACAAAATCTGACCTCACATAAATAATTATGGGAGTTGCAGTTTCAAAAAACGTTTTCACTCTATATAAAGATTATATTCATTCTCTCTTGGGTTGGTGTATACACCCCGTCTTCATTAGCCCAGTTCGGAGCCGAACAATAGGACGTTAAACCCCATTTCCTTTTGATGTATACATGGAATACTTACAATAACATCCGTATAATAATCTGTCTTATAATCATGATCATGTGACACCATTGTACCATTTACAGATATACTGTATCCATAGTAACGAGAATTACCAATCTACAAACAGAGAGCATATGATCTGCGGTTGAAGCTTGTTAATCTACACATTTTGATTCATGTCAAAATTCCTCCTGGATTAATTCCAGATTGCTGGAACACATTGTGAATACTGATCTATAACATATAGTAATATCAGTTAATATAACTGGAAATGGACTAAGTCACTGTGGTCAGTTGATCTCCACATCCTTGATGAGTAAGAAAATTAATCTTCTCAATTACCTCTCTGATTGTACGTTAACTATTTCAGTATCAACCGGTAAATTAAAGATATATTCTATTAAATAAAACTGATTAACTCTGTGTGAATGACCCTTAATCCTTAGTCAGATCACATCAATGCATGCAAAAAAGGGAGATAAAAGAGAAAGGATTTACCTAAAAGTAACTGGCACTACAGACTTTATCATAAAAAATAAATTAGTGGTCTTACTCCTTACTTACCAAGCCATTCCACCAATCCCAACCTGGAGGTATATGACTTGGACCACCAGTTTTTTTAAACCCATACTGTCAATATAAATAACAACAAATTAATCATGCTGAAATATTACATACATTATAATGTTATAGAAAAACATACATATACATATACAGTCAAACTTCATTAATTCTTTTTTCTTTACAAGACTTGCCTCCCTTTTTCAGCTGGGAGGTTGGGTGGCTGAATGGTCTAATGCGAGCGATTTAGATTAGGTCGTCAACCTAGAATGAGTAAGGGTGCCTGTCCAACCGCATGGGTTTTCTCAGGGTCCTCCAGTGCCCTCCCACAGCTAAAGTTCCCTACGTTTAAGCGAATTATTGAAATAAAATTACCTGGTTTAAATATTTACCAGCGAAGAAAGTTGTGTAACCTTGTTTCTTCAGATATACTGGGAAAGTATTAGGTTCTTCTTCCTTTTGCCATTGGTAACTACTACACTGCCCCGAGACCGAGTTGTTTATAGCATGATGATTATGTAGATATTTACCTGTAAAAAGACTTGAGCGACTGGGGCAGCACAATGGACTGCTGACAAACTGAAATAGAAGAGATATAGAAAATGAAATGGGGTTTGAAGTCCTACTTTTCTGCAGCGACTGTCCTTGCCAGAACCTCAGTCTTGCACCACTGATAAGAGTAAACCATGCTGGAAAATTCAGGGGAACTTACTTCACCAAAAAACACTGGGATCGTACCTCAGATCTCCTGTTCAGTGAGCCAGTGCCTTTACTCACTGAGCCACTGTGGCTCCCAAACAGAAGAGAGATACTAGCACATTTTAATGTTTAGTGCATTGTTTTGACCATTGTTATGAAGGAGGGATGTAAACATGTGATGTGCTGTGTGATTATTCGTATATCTCAGTTATTACAAAACTAAGGATGTTTGACCTTATGTAACAAACCAGAATGTTTTTCCCAGTTATTACAAAATTATGGATGCTTTGCTGGTTATTGAAAAACCAAGGATGCTTTGTCAATTATTACAAAATCGTGAATGTTTTGTCAGTTGCCAAAGACCTTAGGATGTTTCATCAGTTGTCACAAAATGAGGATGTTTTAATTGTTGCAAAAACTGGAGATGATTAATCAGTTGCCACAAAACTGAGGATGTTTAATCAGTTGTCGAAAGTAGTCGAAACACTGAGAATGTGCCATCGAGTGCTACAAAGTTATCAAGGTTTCTATTTTTGGGTCTTCTATTCAAAAGTACCTAGTCTATCAGATTATATAAGATATAATCCTATGCATAATTTACAGGGGTAGATCCAGCTTAATCAAAATTACAGGCACTATGTTGTCTAGCATTCTACATTATATACAAGGTATATCACACGTCATATTGTTTTGACTCAGTGAAGCCATTTATTCCTCGATTATCTCACAATACTCACTACTCTCCTTCTGTTTTATGGCAGATTAGACTTTATGTAATTCTTACACAACCCTAATGTCACTGATTTGATCATTTCATAGTGCTATTATTTACAAAGTTCCTGTGATCAAAATAGAGCGATCGTAAAAGTAGTTGTCTAGTTGCAAGGTCATATAACTGAGCCTTCGTTAGTAGAGGTCTGTGGGGCAAACCAACTGGAAGCAATGTTGTTCTAAGAATTTGGAAGTACCGGTACATGTATACTCTAAGTAAAAGTTTGCCCCTTTATGATTTCTGTTTAAATTTTCCACTTACACTGTTTTTAAATACTATTCCTTGTTCCCCTATTAATTCATTTATCTTCTTTATTGGAATCTGAAATTACATGCAAAAATTGAAAAAATACAGAAAAACTAACAGTATGTCAGCTTTCAAACAATTCCCATACAGGCTCCTTGGGCAGAGCCAGGTTATCCGTTAGTATTATATAACATAAATTACATTTATTTTTTTTGTTAAAGTCCTAATGACCACTTGCTGAAAATAGTTAGGACCAGATTTAGGCTAGGCATCAGTATTACACCTAATCGCATATTGCATGATGTATGCCTGTCTTTGTTAGAAAAGAAGACAACAAACCCCATTTCTTTTAATTTTGTAACCGTCATGTGAAATATCAGAACCAGACAGGAAAAATCCCTGTACCTACCAAGTACAGGCACTTGAAGGGATTAAAATAAAACTTCCAACTACTGCTTGACTATATATTACAGTATATACTGTAATATATCACGTGGCTAAGTGGGTAAGACGCTGGCTCGCTAGCCTGGAGGTCGGGTGTTCGATCCCTGCATTGGCCGAGAAAGTTCATCCAGATTTTCCGGCGTGGTTTCCCCTTGTCAGTGATGCAGGACAGCGGGCCTGACAAGGACAGCTGTCTAGTCGTTCTGATGGGACAAAAAACCGAGGTCCTGTGTACATATTGGTGTACACGTAAAAGATCCATTAACAGTTGGAATTCGATATAAGAGTAGGCCGTAGCGCCGCTGCCCGGGCAAAATTTTCCTCATAGCACACTGTATGGCGTATGCCTGTCTTCAGTAGCCCAGTTTAGGAGAAGAACAGTAGGACGTTAAACCCCATTTCTCGTAATATATATATAGTCAAGCAGTAGTAAGTAGGTTTATTTTAATCCCTTCAAGTGCCTGTGCTACCAAGCGGTGTACATCATAGATGTATCACTTTATACTTCAAACAGATCTAGTGTTATCTCATCACATCATCATATAATTTCAATCTTGTGTCCTTGATGATATCATATATTGTCAACTAATCTTGTTTTCCTTGGAGCTTTATCAGTAGATAATAAAACTCAAGGTGAAATATTTTAAAATCATAACTTAATGTTTTAACAGCTCTCAATTTTTAAAACTTCCATAATAGATTTGGCTATTAGGGTGTGTGTGTGGTGGAGGGGGGGGGGGTGCAGAGCATATTTTTCTCCTAAATTTAAAATCAACATTGAACAAACAAACATGCAAAACAGTGCCACCGTTTGCGCTTCAGTCCGCTCCAACCCCCTTGCTCAGTTAGTAATTCACAACAGTTAGTATAGACAGAGAAATTTCCATGGCTACAAACCTCTTCTCGGACATGCGGATACTAACAGAGGGTCGAGGGAAGTGGTACAACAACAAACAACAACAATATTTGCTCAGATATATTGTTTTTCATTAAATTAAAAATGTTTGGCTGTTATGACCAGATTTTTTGGCCGTTATAACTAAACTGTTTAGCCGTTATGACTAAAGTAGGGCCGTTTTGACCAAACCTGTTTTTGGCCGTTATGGCATAGGCCATAGGGCCGTTACGACTACATCCTGCAATTTTTACTCTGTCATGCCAACTCGATGAAAAAAAATAACTGTTGAACAAATTCTTTAATCACTTTAAGTATACATACAATTTTGATAATTTGGAGTTATTCAATTAATTGGTAGTTTTTGAATATACACGAAATTGCTTTTAGTTTTTTTAATGAATGAATGTTGACATGTTCATCATGTTGAGAATGAGAAATGTTTTGCATCACCGGGTAGTCGTTAAGAATTAAGTGTAAAATAAAAATAATACCCCTGAGCCTCCTTCATTTACATCTTGGTCATCTGTTAATATAAACACAATATTTGGTGGTTTACAGTTCACGAAATAAACATAAACACTGAATAACAAATGATAAAACAAATAAACCGCCTTCATTCTGCTAAATAACAAATATACCAGTCACATGACAGGTCACGTGATAATAAAGCTTACCCTTTTCAACTTTTCCAAAGAAGAGCTAAGCTGTTTGAAGTTACACCCCTTTAAATACCAATACGATATACAAAAACATGATCGTCGGCGCCCCTGTTTACAATAACATAGGTGCTGTTGCCCAAACATTTTATTTTTAGTGAAATTATGGAACCGCAGTGACTCAGTGCCCAAGGTACTGATCCGCAAACCTGGGGTGCAGGGTTCGATCCCACAGTTTTCCTGTGTGGTTTACCCTTGCCGCTGGTGCTGGACAGAGGGTCTTAGGAAGCAAAGGCTTTTAGTCGGGCATTTATGTTTGATGTGACTCCCATTTCAATATTTCATTGTTGTTGAAGATTTTGTCTTACTCATTGGTTTTGATCTTAAACCCCTAACCCTGAATTTATAGGTTTTAATCTTAAATATCTGACTCTAACCTTAATCCTAAAATTTAAAAGTTATGGAAATAGAAAAGGGAGTCGGATCAAACATGATCGCTTTAGTCGTTAGGATGGGACAAGAAAACCACCGAGTTCCTGTATGTATACACGTTGTCGTGCACGTAAAATAACCCTGGCAGTTGGAAATCGAAATAAGAATAGGCTGTAACCATAGCAAACCGATGGCGTCTTCATTAGCCCCAATGGAGCATGTTATGATAAAAGTAGGACGCGAATATTAACCCCGTTTCATTTCATAAGGAAATTGCATCGGTTTGAAAGGTTTCTTACAGGGGCGATATCACTCTTTACGTTTTTGGTTGATGACACAAAATTAAAACAAGTTTCTTTATTGTAAAATATTTATTCTTATAAAAATATTAATATATTGTTTTGCGTGGCATTGCATATAGCAAGTGGTCGAATCGTAAAACAATTAACAAAACATTCCACCACACATCCCCATAACAAAGGGGGAAAATAGGAGACGGGGGAGAAAAACAAAGAAGAATTCAAACCAACATACATAACCAAATAAATTAAACAAAGAAGAAAAAAGACAGAAACACATCAAAAAGAATCTGAAAAGAAAAACGAAAGAAAAATTGCCGATTAATTACATTACCGACAATACCATCTTATAAAGTTCTTTTTTTTTTTTTTAAATCGGCCCAGTTAGAATCGGGGCATTAATTTCCAGATCGGTTTTTATTTGTATAATCCTAAAGTGGCATTTATTAACTGAACACAACAGACAATTATATGAAAAACAATCACTGGTTGTTATTCATAGCCTATAGCACGTCGTTTGACAAGTATTTTCTTACCGTTTTCAAGTACAAATTATTGAAAACGACAAGATAATATTTGTCGAAACGTAGCCTCTATTAATACCAACAATCAGTGATTGCATTCCATATAAAGGTTTGTTATGGGTTCCAGTTGCTGGGCCCAAGGGACTGTGATTCAAACCCCACCAGATGCGCTGAGATCACATTTCTCGTTATTCGAATTCATTTCATTTCGTTTCATTTCTTTTTGTCCAATGATTTTTGAATAATATAAAATTACGATCGGGTGATAATGATAATAACAGTGTTTTATAAATGTTATTGGCGTAAAAAAATATAGATTATAGAAAAATAAAATAACAATACAAAATAACAATAATTTCCATTAAGTATCATCATATTATTATAACAATAAAAGTCATAATAATTAATAATAAAATTAATTTAGATTAGATCACGCCGTATAGAAATTTATTTATCAAAATTATTATTAACAATAAAATTCATTTCGATTATAACATACTCTAAAAATTATTTATCAAAATTTTTTATTAACAATAAAATATATCTAAACCATAACATTATATATATAAACAAATATTTATAATATTATTAATGTTAGTCTTAAAGGTAACATCGATTTACTATTCATATACTATAAAAAATAATAATTAATGCTGAGACAATATTTAAAGTCGCTGGTCATCATCTGTATTTCTCGGACAATATCTAACTTTTCACGGCAGAAAAACGCCAAAGTGAACTCAAATTTTTAACATTCAAATAAAAAACCAAAATCAACAGATTATCGCTTTATACTCCCTAAGTTTTGATTCTATGGGAATAAAAAGACAAAAAAATCAGTTATGATTATCATTGGCGCTGCCTTATTTTGATCACATCCCGTTTGTTGATAAAATTTTCTATTCATCATACCTTTGTAAATGTCACTGAACCATCTTTGGACTAAGAAACAAATTTAAATATATTTAAAGGACGATCAGAAACTTTAACAAACTTAACAAAATAAAAACAACTGATAATCTAAATACACACAAAAAAAAACAACAAAACAAACGGTAAACAAATAGATTTTACCTGTAGGCTTAAATGGTGGCCTGTAAATGGTCTTGATGTATTTAATTTATCACGCAAAATGTATTCCAAATATTGTTACCGTTCATTGAAGTCTCATACTGTATTTTCGATCAATCAATAATATTGAACACAATAAGGGACACAGTGCCATAAACAAAGGCATAATTTTGAATAAATTGGATTCTTTGAGTCGATCGAAATGCAGTTATGTATACCATATTTTTTTAAAAAATAGAATAAAATGGGTATAATTATGTTTTAATATAATGAATGTTCTATTCAAAACGCTTACTATGTAAATAATAATATATACAATTAAAACAATAAACATTAAGACTACCAACAGTAATATTAAAGGAGCTAAACCTCATTGCTTTAGGTCAAATTAAAGTACTTGATTTGCATAGTCTCGTTTGTTGTTTTGAATTGTGGCGGCGCAAGGTCTGTACGATTACAATTTTGTTTCGAAAGATGAAGCGAGATTAGGTTCGTTTACTAATTTAGGTTTAATTGTGTTTTACTGGTAGTGGAACAGCAAAATGGTTATGGCTTTATCTATTGGTGTAAAATCTTCAACAAACACAGATTTTCATGTACAAAAAACAAGTCCACATGTTTGGCTCAAATCACTGAGGTCTAGCCATTTTAAGACACTAGTTCGACCACATTAAATAACATAAATAGTGATAAATAATATAAAACATTCTACAATAAATTTAGCTCTGATCATTCGGGCATATATTGTTTCCGGTTCGACAAAAACGTATATGGTTTGGACAAAATACCCATTGTGTGTATAACTGTCTGGTTGTTCGCATATTATAGGAAATGATGTCCCAGTTCACCATTTAACAATGCATTCTGTATTTCTCAAATACAACGTGGAGGTTAATCCCCCCACCCCCCACACCAAATCTCAATGTCCCAATTAAAATTATATACAAATGTGGGCTATTTTGTTCAGACGACATTCGTTGTTTCGAACGGGAGTCAATACACGTAAATACAAACTGGTAAAATATATAATTTCTAAAAACTGAAATTAGATAATATGCCTCTCTTTTACATTCTTTCAAATTTATTTGGAATTGAAACAAAGTGTCGATCTTAATCTCTCTAACTTCGATTAAATATTCAATTATTTTTATTTATGGCAACGCAGAGGCATATCAACGTTTGTCCGCAGAAAAAAAGAGAATCCACAGTATTATTTAAAAGGCGTTATATAAAAACTGCCTTGTTGTAAAAGGGCAAACAAAGCTTAGACATTTACTACTGCCAAATGCCATGCAGTGTGCGACTACGTGTAGTGAGCTTAGCATTTAAGTTTGTGTATTTTGTCTTAAGTGCTACCGCGTTTAATTGAAACGGGTCTGTAAAGAGATTAGTTCTATGTCCTCTATGAAAATACATTATGATTCAATTAAAATTCGAGGCTGTTTAAAATTATGTAAAAAACTTTTTTTCCTTGTATCAATATTACAAGCTTTGTACTGAAAGAAAAGAGGATATTTGCAATCTCATTAAATTTATTCATTCCTGAAGAGATTTTCCTCATGTGACAATAAACTACCAAAGCTGATTCTAGAATTATCTAACTGGCGTGTTTTAAAAGATGATATGAAAAGGTATTCTTTAGAAGTCTTCGGTGAGCAATGACAAAAAATAAAGTTCTATTGGAAGTAATTTGAGCATACTTATATCGGTTGTATGAAAAATATTAGTCACGTAATTGCTGAGATACAAATGTTTATATTTTCAATTTAAGGATGGTAGATTTTATTTTTAAAGGAGTTTAATAGTTTTGAATATACACCAATCAAATAGGTTGGTACTTTAATAATGGATAAGTTTTATGTGGTATAATGAAAGATTAATTACATTTATTTCCTTGGTAAGAAATTGAGACCTTTAATCAACAGAAATTGAGACTAAAATATCCGAATTTTGAGATATAAGAGAAATTATGGTAGTTTTGAAAGAACGGACAACTGAGATACAGAAGCAGGTGACGACTTTATACTTCCATTTGGTTTCAAATGTGTGTCGTCTTAAAAACTGACTTGGAGGTTACTAGGGATAGTTTTATGTGTGAACATTGTGAAAAGTGAATCTTGTGTTCCGTGGTAAAATATTTGAAATGATCATCATGATATAAATTTGCCAATATAACTCGGACGTTTTTGTAACGTGGACGGTAATTAGTTTGGTGGGATAGTTTATTGGATGGATTAAGAATCGTGGTTTTTATAAAGGCTAGAATTTGTTTAGCCTTGATATATATGATTTGGCTTTACTGAAAACGTTGCTAAGATTAACGTAGAAATGTTACGGTCGAAACAACGGGAGCATCTCCTTTGAATGAATTTTTTTTTACCGTGGACGCTACCCTGCAAAAGGCAATTTAATGAGATCTAATAGGTTTACTAATCAGTCTCACGTTTCCTTCACATACTGGACTAAGCCTTTTATGTGGCTTCTCCGGCAAGTTTCTTAGGAAACACTTATCTGTGATATCACCCAAGGTGGAAGTGGACGTAAAACCCCCTACTTCCAGTTAAAAAATTTCCATTTTCATTGTTATACCCATGATTTTAACTTGAACCCTTTGAAGCCGTTGATCGTCATTTGAGTTATTTTAAATTCCTTGCAAACTAAATGCTAAAAGGAATAATTAGTCCAATAATGGCTTCATCCCATGACCTCTTTTTAATCGGATCAAATCAAAGCCAGGAGATTATCAACAATGTGTTTGTTGTAAATACCGAATCATCAATTTGAGTATGATTTAACGTTGATTAATCATTAAGAAATTAGATATGTCAGCAAAATGCAAATGACGATCACCGGCTTCAAGTCATTTCTTGAGTCCACTGGAATTTGTACACCGAAGTGTTTAGGATTGATTGTACTTAACATTTGGTTAGCACAGCGCCTTACATCATAATAGCAAGTAAAATTGTAGCCAATATTCTAATAAATTTCTTTCAATTTTGGTCATTAATTTCTCGACTTGAAATGTATACGAATAATTAATTAGTTGGTAAATTAATAAAATTAAAGTATCTCCACCAGGCTGTAAATTTACCAACCGTAAGAATTGGGACCAAATTTATAAACCAGTTTCTTTCCTATAACAGGTAGCAAGATCTTTCTACTGTAATAATACCTGAAATAAAGATAAGTTAAAATATACGTACAAAAGAGGTGTCGTAGACGCTATGTAACAAACTATAAGCCGCTTACCTACAAGGGGGCACTGTACCTGAGCGGTCAGAGTACTGAACTCTCGACCACAGGCGCCTGTAACGTGGAGAATCTCGTTTCCAGACGAGTTATTTCCCCCTGAATCGGATTCGGACGAGTTATTTTATAATCTCGCTCACTTAGTCACAGTTTAATATCGAACGTTCAGGTTTCCAATTTCAGCGTAGGCCGAGAAGAATCCATGGGAGGTGTTGAGGTCTATGTGTGTGCACATACCGTGAAAGGAAAACGATCTCTGATAGTTGTATAAGATTTAAAAAAAAAGATGAGACTGAACCATAGAAATACAAATTACCATTATGTTTGTCTTAAACTGACAGAAGTATTGTGTTGACGACACATTAAACACCATCCCATTCCTTCCCACTGATGGAGCCGCAATAATCCACTAAGAAAGGCACTGGCTCCTAACAATAAGGTCTCGGGTTCGCTTTCTTGGGATTTTTCGCCGTGTAATGCCAGATGGATTGATGAGATTATAAAACACAGTGTTGGTAATGAAAGGGGGCATGATACAAGCTCAGAAAGGAGACTATTGTACAAACATTTTTAGGTCATATCAAGCAAATATCAACTGAATGACCTACTACTATAATTCAAGAAGGGGCGGAACCTATGGGGACCCAAGGAGCTGAGGCCATTGAAGTTCCGACATTCTGAAATCATCATTGCAAATTACACATTGAGAAACTTGAAGCTCTTAAAGATAGATTCCCACGAAAATATTTAAATTGGTATTGCCCAATTGGTAGAGACACTCAGTCTTACTAGAAAAATACTGGATTCCCTGACAAACAACCATGGGGCGCCCACTAGCGGCGCTTCTAATAGCTAACGGCTGAGAACGCGGACACTTCCAGCAGACTCTGAGATTAAACGGCGAAAAAAAAATTGGCAAAGGATAACCCAAGATTATACGGAGGCTTCGATATTTATGGCAAATGATCAGCGACTAACGACAAATACAAGCTATAAATTGATTCTCCCTCAATCAAGTCACGTGACAAACAAGGCGGTTTAAATAGATTCTTGTTGCATGGGTAATGTTTTGAGAGGGATTTGATGAAAACCGGTTATTAGTTAGAATATATTTTAGTCCAAATATATCATCAAATCACACAGTTTGTACACAGTCCGACTAGCTGGCGCTACCCTTGGAACTATATGCATGGACATTACCGAGATACTTATCAGCCCAAACAGATTCTGACTAGGGATAAACATCTAAATTATGACATGCCTTTAAAAACCGCACCAATACAATTTACTGAAAGGGTTATCAGTTGTCTTCCTTAAAGTGTAGTTCGTGACGAGCATTGTAAATAATATAATTTAGGATCACGAAACAAAAACTAAAGGGTTGACTGATCTGTCTAGGTACGCTGACCTACTTATTAACAACAACCACAGGGACGCCTCGTCGCTATCAACTTGTGTTATCGGTTATTAAATAAATGTTAGAAAAATATGAATTATTCATCTTCAAGCCAAATGTATCTAGTATAGTGGGTGACATCGTAAATAACGGAATTTAAGATAACGAAACAAAAACTAACGGGTTTACTGTTCTGTGGTACGCTGAACTTAGCTATTTATTAACAATCACCACAGGGACGCCTGGTCTCTATCCATTTGTGTTATTGGTTATTAAAATACATTATGGGAGATTTGATAAATAGCTGGCAGTTTTCACTAAAATAGTTAAAAACTAGATAATGTTAAGAGAATTTGCTGAAAATTTCAGTCAAATTGATCCACTCTGAACCGAGCCTCGATCATCATTACTAAAGTCGGCACGATAAAAAAAAACATAGTCTCGATTATCCACTTCATGATTAAATCATGAATGAAAGTTCTGTCTTTTAAACCAACAGGTTTGACGAAGTTTTGATTTTTAAACCAACAGGTTTGACGAAGTTTTTATTTTTAAACCAGAGGTTTTGCTGGAGTTTTGATCTTTGAGTCGAAATGTAAACGAAAAGAAAACCCGCGAAACGTATTTGAAATTCGATTGCGTTCTTCTATGTGTCAGAATGAACTACCCAATCAAGTATCGGTCCTGTACCGTATTCAAAAATCTTCATAAATTTGAGCTTAACTGAGAAGAAACTTCATAAATTAAAATCAAACAATTCAGAATGTCGACAGCGACCTTCCTACTAACCAACTGGGCATTCCCTCCGAATTTTTTAAAACAATACTGTTAAAACCCTGACCAGCATAGCATTCACAAGAATCGGCGCGCCGACGGACGAGAATGACGACAATATCCATGATTTCTTAAAGAAATCTATTTGCACACAATCGAATCTGTTCAGGTCTCATTTTCTTACCTCATGGCTCGACTCAACTTTTCATATGTCATATTATGATTGTTCTTCCGGTTACCCCATAATAGTGCCACTGCCTTTGATTGGTTGAATCTGAAAAGACCGTTTCTACGGTCAACCCATTCAGCCAATGAAGGGTTGTATTTTGGATTGAGTAATAACCCTCGAATGAACTCCCATAATCTTTCTGATCTTTGACCTACAACGATTACAAGTTAATAGAAAAAACATATGAGCTTCAGCAGTAAATTCCGGACAGCAGTAGTCCGTCTCATTAAAATGATACCAATATTTCAGTTGATTTTATTTGGAGAGAGAAGAGGAATGGATTAACGTCCACTAGACACAAACTAGATCATTTCTGGATTAAACTATGTTTCAATGTTTTTGCAATAATTCGCTTGCGCGTAGGGGTCTTTTAGGAGTGGGAGAAAACCGGAAAACCCGAAGAGAACCAAGGCGGTTGGACAGGCAACCCTACTCCTTGTCGCGTACAAGCGGGGAATCGAAACTACGCCACTTGACTCCGTGCCAGACTTCAAGGTCAAGGGAATTATTATTCAATGGTCACTGGCTCAGTACATAATATCACGTCTTAATTAGGTTGATCCGAGGTAAGACAGAATACAAACCCGGAGAAAACCCATGAGGATGGACGGCCGATCCTACTCTTTGTCACGTACAACCGCGGAATCGAAACCATGCCAGTTGACTCAATGACAGACCTTATGATTCAACGCGCACGCTCTAACCCCCCCCCTCCGTTTAATGTTCTACTTTTCTGTAGCTAAAGAAGACGCGCATAAACCATACAGTGTGCTTTGAGCGAACTTTTGCTTGGACAGCTTATTTCGAATTCCAACTGTCATGGGTTCTTTACGTGCACGTAAATGGGGCCTCGGGGTTTCGTCTCATTCGCGGGACTAGACACTTCCTAGTCAGGCCCCGTTGGAAATGTATTACAGGTAGGATTCTTGAAATAATTTTCGGCGAGTTCGGCTGTACACCTTTGAATTTAGTCAAGCTTAAATTTTGTTTGTCCACACAACATATATTAATTGAAGCTTGTAACGCATTTCCGGCCACCATTTAAATTATTGTATTCATACGCTATTTACCTTTTTTGTTGGTGTCTTTGTGATATGTGGTTTTGTTACTGATCCAATGTTTACAGTCTTTAGTTACTGAAAGACATAAAATAAAGTAGACTTTTATACTTCAAAATATAACGTCAACATTGTCGGAGTTTCACATTTTATTTCTTATATGGATTTAATCTGGGTGATTTTACATGGATATTTACCTGATCTGGATTGGTTGGAGCTTTCTCGATGGAATTGTGTTCGTATAACTGATTCATCTGGGACTAAAGACATTGTTCAACTCCAGAGGGAGAGAGAGAGAAATGGGGTTTAAAGTCCACTCGACACAAACTAGGTCATTTCGGGACTAACATATGGTTTAACTTTATTTCAATAATTCGCTTGCGCATAGGGGTCTTTAGCAGTGGGAGGAAACCGGAACCCGGAGAAAACCCACGAGGTTGGACAGGCGACCCTACTCCTTGTCACGTACAACCGGGGATTCGAAACCACGCCAGTCGACTCAATGACAGACTTTATGATACAGCGCGCGCACGCTAACCATTCAGCCATCCAACACCCCGGGACCATGCGTGTTGTAACATTCGATGCAATGGAATTATAAAGGTCAGTCATCTACACAAAGTTAGAAGAAGGCTTTCGCGTTACCCCCGTGAAACAGAATCAAGTGGATATTGGAGGAAGGACGTTCAAATGTGAAGTTTGTGTTCAAATGGTGTTCAACATCCTGCTGTTCGGCAAGGAAGGACATTCAAAATAAATCCAATGACTAAAGCATAGTTGATCTATAGTTACTGAAATGAATGTAAATATCCTAGCATCGGGTTGAATATTAGTAAGGAAAAGGTGGTAACGGTGTGACATTTAATCCGCATTGTTGCAAACGATGTCTGAGAAATTCAAAGTGGATTCTAAGGCTGCGGCCATAAATTTCAAATGGGAAAAGCTTCGATGGGTAGGGTAAAAGAAAAACACCAACACGATGTCGATGGCACATTAATATTTTTATTGAAAAGGTGGCATTGACACGATGAGTGAATCTAAGGTTTCGTCTATTTTATTATTTCTTTTGCATTTAAGGAAAACACTGGATTAGGAGATTGAAGCCTAAATAGGTTGCTTGAAACATTTGCACTATTATGAACCCTTAAAATGAATTGTGTTGGAAACATCTTTGAATGATCTCTCACAACAAAATCTCTAGAGCGTATACATAATAATCTGCGCTGTTAACAACACTAGAAATTAACCTGAAGTTATGACAGACGTTTCATACTGGTCCTTTTATAAAAATATTTCCGTGTAAAATTGTGTATCAATCGAATCACAATAGAGACTTAGGGGGTTAAAGAAGATCAGGTATAATAAAATTATAACTTATGCGTAACCGCAGTAATAAATGAAATATCTTTGTACGAAAAATAACTATAGACATACAAAGAGTGATTGGGTCTCATAATTATCAACCGTTCAGCTTTTGATGAAAGAAAGAGAGAGAGACAGAGAGAGAGAGAGAGGGGGGAGAGGGGGGAAACAAATGAGGTTGGACATAATAATATTCACACAAAAACAATATAAAATATACTTAAAGGAGCTAAATCGCTAATACTTTGGGCCTAGAAATTGGCACAAATGGGTCGCAACACATATATTGATGCAATATGAATTTATATAAACTGTTTAACATTCAATCGTTTCCGTTTTACTGTGAATTGTCATCAGTTATGTTTGGCGAAATACGCCAGAAGTCTCAACCGAAAGACAGTTTCTAGCGTCTTGTTATTCCAGTCAACACCGATAGTAGATATTGCGCATGTTCTCCAAGTAAGAATATGGCATCACCGTTTGACATGACTTGTGGAATATGTCTAGCCTCATTCTTTGAGCACCTTGTTACAAATGGCGCTGAAACTCATTATAGTACACGATTCGTGTACCAATGGTAAAATGTTTATTTTGTCTTAAATATTGGATATCAGAAGCCCATCCTTTCCAGGTAAGACCACAACACCAATGCTGATTTAAATTGCAAAATAATTCGTGTTTTCAATGTCGAAGATTTTGGATGATATTGAGTTACAGGCTTAACTACTTTAAAGGAGCTAAATCGCTAATATTTGAGAACTAGAAATTGACACAAATGGACCACAACGCATATAATAATGTAATATGAAAGTATATAAACTGATTTACATTCAATCGTTTCCGTTTTTACTCTAATTTCAAATCATTAATGTTCGGCGAAATACGCGAGAAGTCTCAATCGAATGGCAATCTCTAGCTTCTGGTTATTCCAGTCTACACCGTTAGTATCTATTGCGCATGCTCTCTAGATAAGAATATGACATCACACTTTGACATGGCGCTGACTGTGGGGTGTGTTTCCACTTAGCCGGCAGACTGTTAATCCTTTGATTGATCTTAAAACTATAGTCTGTTTAAAAGTAGTCACTCAAGAACTGTTCACTAGTGTTCAGCGTTAATGAGCTCTTAATCCCTCTTAATAAAATTTATTAACCAACTAATTAATGACATTTTGAACATTTTGGTGGTACCAAAAGGCCTCGAGTTAAGAAATATCGACAACTTGATACAAGAATTGAACATTTGAAAACACAGTTATTAAATGGCTCTTTAAGTGTAAATCGGTATCGAACAAATATTTCCTATTTAGTGGGGCTGTAAAATGATTGTTATGTTGTAAGGCATTTATTTATAAATTTAGAATGCTATTTAATAAAGTTAAATGTGTAAATAGTAATGCATTTTTATTTGTGTAAATCATTTAATGTTATTTAATAAATATTAAATTTGTTAAAATCACTATATTTTTATATGTGTAAGCTATTTAATGTTATTTAATAAAAGTTAAATTTGTTAAAATCAATACAGTTTTAGCCTTAAAAAAGATATGGACTATAGTTAATAACACCATTGTTCTAGGATTAACTCTGGATTAGCGGCAAAATTTGACATCAAAGCCTGCCGGCTAAGTGAGAACACCCCGACTGTGGGTGATATTGAGTTAAAGACTAAATCATCTTTAATTAATCTTACATCACGATCGTCAAAGGAATACTTCCGCCCTATCCTATACATACCAAAATATACTTAAATCAATTGTAATAATTCTTAAAGATGCATTATGTATGGTTTAGATAAAGAGCTGTGGTCGTCCTTACTATAATAGTTCAAAAATATATAATGAAAAATGTATATGATAAAAATATCATTCAAATTAATTTTTTCTGGGCGATGTTATAACTGTTTGAATATGTACACTGTAACAAAGATTGTTTATTATCGTAGCAAGGGTACTTTAAAACCGAGATTATCCATTTTATCTTTAAATTCTTGAATCGCGCGGGTGTTCAAATCCATTTGATGCCCTAGAGAATGAATAATAGTTTTTTCAGGCGACTAAATGTCTAACTAATAATTTATATGACATTTGAAGCTAAAATAAAGACCTGCAATAGAAAGATTTAGCTCTTACATAATGCATCTTTAAATCCCATTTGTCAAAGGAATACTTCCGCCCAAGAATTTAAACATATCATTATACCCACACAACAAATATACTTAAATCACGTGTAATAATTCTAAACTGACGATCGACGAAGGGATACTTCCACTAAGACATATATAGAATGAACTGGGGTTTAACGTCCTACTGTTCTGCTCTGACTGTGCTAATGGAGACGGGGACATATATATGAGAAACTGTCACGTGTTTTCTTTTTAGTAATCATTAGAATTAAATTTTATGATCGTCTGATACATTTGCCAGTTATATTAAATTACTATTTATATATTTAATTAAATATTAGAGAGGATGCCCCTGTTTATTATTAAGAGTAAATCTCTCCTGATAAAAATGATAACGCAACAAATATACGATATACTTAAATCATGCGTAATAATTCTTAACTGACGATCGACGAAGGAATACTTCCACTTTTAAAATATATATATATATATAGAGAGAGAGAGAAAGTGTCACGGTTTTCTTTTTAGTAATCATTAGAATTAAATTTTATGGTCGTCTGATCACTTTATTGTTTATTGAAATACATTAAAATATTACGTATAGCCAACAAAGATTAATAGTGCTCTATTAAATATTATAGAAGATTTCCCTGTTTATTATTAAGATTAAATCTCTCCTGATAAAAATGATAATGACGCAATGAGGAAAGTCGATTTTATTGTTACACGAAATCGAGGCTGCGATAGTAAAATTGCTTTATTTGGTAATGTCTACGATAGCTGTAGCCTTATTAGCATATTTAAAGGAAGTGTAGGATTTTATAAAACCAATGTGTCAATACAATGTGTCAGTTCTTTTGAACAATTCAATGCTCCACCCTCTTGGCTTTTCTGTTGGCATATTTTGTAGAAATTTTGGATGTACACCCCAACCTGTTCTTAGAGAGTCTCGTGGATATAAAAACTAAAAAAAATAATAGTAATTATGTTGCACTGGATTTGATATTTCCCGTATGACCTACATTGTCCGTGTATTGTTTTGTTTTGTTTAGCGAGCTTAATTAGTTGTTTTCTTGGTAATATTTGGCCAATCTGTTTCACAGAGAATTACGAAAGTCTTCTAATATCTCTGTTAAAGATGACTGCCTTCAACACGTGACGTCTCATCACGCGGCGTCAATCATTGGCTCAATGACGCGTGCATTGTTTACATAAGACCTTAATGATTCGGGCAGAATAGAGCCTTTTTAATACCCATTTACACTAAAAAGAAAATAATCTTTACCTACACATACGTCAAATGTCTGTATTTATTTTTCTCATACATAAAAAAAAATGCTTTAGAATTTAATTTGTCGGAGGAAAAAAAGTTAATATTTGTGGCTCATTAAGTCGCATCGATGTCATCTTATCAGTGATAGTCGCGGCCCAGCGAATATTCACAGCTGATCAGTGTGATATTTGGCATGTGTCATGAAGCAATTTTTTTTAAAACTCACCTGTATCTTCTTCTCGCAGGCTATCTGGATCAAATGGATACCAGTGTCCATGAACATCGGCACCACATTCTTCACTTACTGACGTACAACCAATTATTTTTGGTGGGAACGGTTCAACTAAGATAGATAAAACGTATAATAGGGTTTTAGAAAGTTTCATACTTGTAAGAAGCATTTTTAATGTATTGTAAATATCAATATTCATGGAAAATTTGACTTTATAATATTCTAATTGCACACTGCATCCAATGACTAGAAATCTCAGAAACGTATTAAGTCGCCTGTGCTTTCATAATTAGGGGTTCGCACTGCGTAGCTTGTGTGAAACACTTTTGTGTTTGTTAGGATTCATGAATAGCTGACGGAAGTGACCCCAAAATGGAGCCCTGCTGTAATCCATCTGTAATAATTAACTGAACTTTACTCAAAGATACAATAATATACGCTTGTGTTTGTAACGTTTGATAGAGAGTTAGCAGGGCCATTAAAACGTTACGACGGTAACGATGATTTGCTTCTATGTCATTTTTCTCTCTTTTTGTTTTCGCAAAGCTATATTTCCTAATGTTAATATCTGTTAAAGATACATTACGGGAGATTTGATAAAGAGCTGGCATTTCTCACTATAATAGTTAAACTAGATCACGTTAAGGGAATTTGCTGAAAATTTCAGTCAAATTGATCCATTCTGGACCGAGAATTTAGCGATTGAATTTTCGGCCAAGTCTCGATCATCATTACTAAAATCGGTACGATAAAATACATAGTCTCGATTATCCATTTCTTGGTTTAATCATGAATGAGCGTAGAGCAGCAGATCGGATCCTAATCAAATCACAGGCTAGCGATGCCATCTAGAGTTGATTATCGTCTGGATAAGTTAATTAATGTCTAATTAATAATTTGTATAACATTTCAGGCCTAAAGAAAAACCTGCGATGGGAAGATTTAGCTCTTACATAATGTATGTTTAAGTAGAATCTACCTGAATTAAGTAAATCTTGTGCATCTACATGTCCATCTGACACTGGTTTCAATAGTTCTGCTAAATCTAAAATTAACATTTTAAAACTTGTTATGTGTTATGGATAATAATACTCGAATTATACACAATCAATATGATTATACCGATGCAGTCTTTACAAAACAATATTAATAGTTTTAAAATACTAAAGTAGGTGTGTATAGAAGTAATTAAACTAATGTTTACGAAATAAAAATAAAATGTGGTTTAATACCGTTCTGCATCGATTAATGAAGACGGGCATGCGCCATACAGTGTTCTATGAGAGACGTTTTGCCTGGACAATGGCGCTTCGGCCTACTCTTATATCGAATTCCAATTGCCAATGGATCTTTTACTTTTACGTGTACGCCAATGCGTACACGGAACCTGGTATTTCGTCACATCCGAACGACTATAGGTTGTCTTTTGCCAGGCCCTCCGTCCTGTCCCACCATTGATAAATAAGGGCGAAGCACACCGGAAACCCCGGGACCTCCAGGTTAGCGAGCCAACGTCTTACTCTCCGAGTCACCTAGCTAAATTGGGAGCTCTAGCAAAATATAAATAATTTTCTTTCACAAACGCCATGTCCATTCCTTTACTCATCTAGGTTCAACAAATTATGGCCTGGTCTTAATGACAAATAAACGAATAATAACTGATGCAATCGGCGAGATGAACCGTACGTAATACTGTTTTTATGCTCACATACCTTTTGAAAATTCACTTAAGAGATTTTCGCTGACGAATTATTTTCGTGAAAGGGATAAAATATATACCTGGTGTTGTAGGGTCTTTGTAATTCTGAAAGCATCCATGTTTATCTGAGAAGTAGTCGTTGTTGTTGTTATAATCTAAATGGAGATAACAATCAGTCAAATATTAAACATGGAGATAACAATTAGTCAAATTTCAAATGTCAAATTTTAAACAATCAGTCAAATTTGAAACCTGGAGATAAGAAATATAGCAGTGTTTCAGATATCACAGATAATATTTTCACAGCTTAATTGCGAAAGTTCAGTGTAGCCAAAACAAAATGATGACCTCTCATATAAGGTGCCTGAAAGAGTGCGATCATAGGCTAAAAGGGGATTTAACACCCACTCTACGCAAAATAGGTGATTTAGGGACTAAAATATAGTGTAATTTTATTTCAAAAATTCGATTGCGAGTATGGCTTTTTATCAGTTGGAGGACCCATAACAAACACAGAGGATGAACAAGTGACTCGACCCCTTGCCATGTGGGCACCCGACTCAATCATAGACCCCCCCCCCCTCGCCTGCTTCAGATTAATTATTAAATATCAATATTTTATCAATGGTCTCACCATCATAGATGAAAGCTGTGTTGATGGAAGATGGAGAACTACTTGGGGAGTCACCATCTGATTCAATATGGTGGTGTAGATAAGAATCTGTAATTAATGAAATGATTAGAATCAGTACAACCGCCTACGTCTGACCAAAGCTATAATGGTTTGAAAATAGATAACGAAAAATGAATACATTGAAAATGTCAGTGTCAAATTACTTTATTCTTAGCAAAGTTATCAGTGTTTGAACTTTTAATACAATGTAGCGTAGATTGATTATTATCGTAGCAACGGTACTTGACAATCCAGACTACGTCTCGATTATCCATTTTATCGTTATATTTATAAATCTTGAGGGTGTTCTAATCCATTTACATCTCGGCCAACCGATGGTCTATAGAGTTGACTATATGCTTGTCGTCTGAATAATAGTTAATACATTTGAAGCCAAAATAAAAACCCGCAATAGGCAGATATAGCTCTTACATAATGCATCAAAAATTCAAATTAAAAACGCAAAGAACAGATTTTAAATTCACATTGATTTGGGAGTAGCGAGATGCACTCTGTTTTATCGTACTTCTTTAATAAACGTAATATGGCCAGACGTTGATCTGGTTGTGCATCTTCAGAACCAATACAGAAAATCGTATTATGACCAGATGGGGACCTGGTTGTACTTCTTAAGTACCAAATCGAAAAATGTCCATTACCTCCTGTCCATGATGGTGGGGAACAGGTTGGGTCAGAATCTGTGAAGGAAGAACCCATGCTATGATTGGTAGAATCTTGGTAGAAAGACTGTTGATATTCAGATTGGCAATCTAAAAATTAGATTAATTTGTCAAATATAAGTAAAATGATATATGAAATAAAGAAAAGAGAACCTGACCAAACACCAAGCAATGGACAGGGAAACAGTAGAAGTTAGAATATAAAGAGAAATAAGGAAGAATTATAATTTAAGGCATAAAGAGGACGCGATTGGACATAAAAAGAAAGGAGGGGATAAAGGGGCAACGAGTTGGGACATGACGAGAAGGGATGACGAGGTGAGACATAAAAGACAGTGGAAGCCCTACTACCAGCCCTCTTTAGAAATTTAGAAATTCCCATAAGCCTCGGTCATCATTACTAAAGTCAGTACGATAAACAGCATAGTCTCGATTATCCATTTAATTGTTTAATCGAGAAGGAAAGTTATGCAGTAAATCGGCTTACAATCCACTAAAGATAGCAGGCTAGCGCTGCCATCTAGAGTTGATTATGTTCTGGATAAGTTAATTAATGTCTAATTAATAATTTAGATAACATTTCAGGCCTAAAGAAAGACCTCAAAATAGACAGATTTAGCTCTTGCATAATGTATGTTTAAGGAAATATACGTGGTAATACAACTTGATCGTTCTTCTATCCCCATGCTACGACTGGCTCTCATGCAAGTTTCTTAGAAAACACTTGTCGGTGATATCATCCTGGAGGAAGTAAGTGCTAAGCTTGACAACAACAACAAAAAACACAGTTGAGGAAGCAAATGGAGGCAATTATGATATACTGAATTGAAAGGCTATTCCGACGGTGTGTGTGTGTTTATTTCGTTTCGGTTTTTTATAGTTCAAAATGTCGTTTGTATAAAAAAACGAAACGAAATATAGATCTGTATTTTAATCAGTTGTGGGGTGCAACTGGAAAAAGAACGAAACAAGATGTGGTAGAATATAATGGAAGGTGGATAGGACGAGTGAAAAAATAATATATAAACATATTTACCAAAGATGAATACATTGTCTGTAGGATAATATATCTGTTGAAAAGCATTCATTTTATTGTGGATGTTTTTCCTAGATTCTAAATAAAGTAAATTTCAATAAGCTATGAATAAGAAGTCAGTGAATGTTTGTTATGATTTATTGCTATTAGTATATCCTTAACAAGTACGAGTTGCTAATTTGAGCATTAAACAACCATGTCCGAATCATAAAAGATGCATTATGTAAGAGCTAAATCTGTCTTTTGCAGGTCTTTCGTTTGACCTTAAATGTTATATAAATTATTAATTAGATAATCAATTTTCTAGAGCATCGGATGATCGCGATTTTCAACTGATTGAAACAAGATCGCCATTTAATGATTTAATTCAAAAATGGATAATCGAGACTTTGATAGTCGACCAGGCTATACGAACTATATTATAAAGGCTGCAGAGTCTGATAACCTCGTCCAGAAACAAGTAGTCTGACTAAAATTATCAATATAGTATTCATTTTCATTATTTATTTTGAACTATTCGAACAATAACGGTCAGCTCTTTATCTAAATCTTACATAATCCATCTTTAAGTAATGTTTCAAATTTCATATTACTAGACCGTAACCCAATCTAACATCGCTTGTTGACAATGGGTGAGATGCTTTTAGGTTGATAGTTTTTATTTTATCTTATACTAATTCGAAATTTGTAAAATTAGAATGTCAGGAGTTCGAACCTCTTTATAATGATATGATTTGCTCCTGAAATATTTCCGTGTTTTGATATTCGGTTGAGATAGGTTATCTGCTAGTATATTTGATTGTTACCTGTTGGTGGTTGAAGTTCATGGTATACAGGTTCACCACAGACAATATCTGCTGTGTAAGACATCATGTTACATACACATAGAAATAAATAGACGATCCTGAAATATTAATAATAAAAAATTGAAATGAAATGGGGTTTAGCGTCCTACTTTTCTGTTCTGACTGGGGTAATGAAAGCGGGCGCTAAGGCCTACTCTTATATCGAATTTACACTGTCAAGGGTTCTTTTATGTGCAAGCTAACGTGTACACATGACCATAATTTTTCATCCCTTCCGAACGACTATATTTTGTCCCTTGCCAGGTCCTGCGCCCAGCATCAGTGGGAAATCTCGATGAACTTTCTCGGCCAACACCGGGGACGAACACGGGAGTTCCGGGGTTAGCGAGCCAACGTCTTACTCACTTATCCACCACGGCTCCCATAATAATAGAAAAAAACGTGTATAATATTTAAAAAAAGTTACAGAAAAAAGTTTAAGATATCAGAAATCCTGTACTGTAAATAAAATGAGTGACAATTAAACATAAATATATATTTGTCACCGAGGTCTGTGGTGATGTTATCCTATTAAAATCGAATAATAGACACTTTGAAAAAAGAAATTCTCAGGCCGTGGTAAATCTGCTCATCGCATTTTTTTTCAAGGAATGTTTGTATCAAATAAACAAATCAAACACAATTTGAGTGATTCTAGTTACATTAGTGATTCATTTTCTTCCAATATATTTGTTGTTTAAAGTAGTTGTTATTTTGAAGTAAATTTAGTAGAATCTTAGCGATTTTTAAAAGTATTAAAATATATCGATTTCTTTTACTGTTACCAGTATTAACCAGTTTAAAAATATTTTGATTTATTTCGAACAAAAATATTGCTGATACTTTCAAGACTTATTAATATTTGAAGACAAACGTATTAAATTAAAACACTTTTAAATCACCAAAATTAAAGTGAATAACATAATTAGTTGACAGTGATTGTGGAGCAGGTATGTATGTTCTTAAATGAAAGTTAAATTTTGTTTTATCATTCTATTTTAAACTAACAAAAACAAAACTAATAGGTAATTTATTGAATACGATATTTCGATATTAAAAAATGTACAAAATTACACGTACAAATTGTTCATATCAATATTAAATCAATAATTTTTTTTTTTAATTACAAATAGACGAAATAGAAATGTAAACCATTTTCTTTTAAATAGAAAAGGTGTTTGTATTTGGTCTGTTATGCGATGTTAACTTTACAATTAATGGTTATTTAAAAATAAATAATGATCAATAAATCGACTGTATAAAATCAGTTGTAATATGCAAATAAATATGTGAGTATATGCTGAAAACTTAAAACATATTAAAATTAAAAAAAAAAAAAAAATAAAGTGTATTATTTAAGCACAGTTGTTTGTTGGATTTTTTTTTCAATAAACGTTACCAAAATTTATTTTGTAATCTACAAATAAAAAATAATAATAATAATATAAAAATAAAACGACCTTTTGCGTGGAAATAAATCCATAGGAAATACATTGGACAACTTCCAAAAAAAGTGAATACACAACTATTTTCTGAATCGGTGTATATTAAGTTTAAAATGGAGCATTTTAACATTAAATAATTTCTTCGAGAAATATTTACAACAATCAGATACCAGACAGAATTATATCTTTGATGAAAAAATAAATATTAAAGAAAGTATTAGGAAAAACTTAAAACTATGAGGAAAAGTGATAATTAATGAGGAAAAAAATGAAATAAGGAAAATAAAATAACGTTTGAGTTAATATTGAGACAATTATTTACAACTATTCATTTTATACCAAAAATATAGAAATATCATCTCTGATTTAAACTCAAGATTTAAATCGAATTTTTAAATAGCAAGATTACATTACCTTTCAACGTTACCCGCCGTCTTGCCTAGCTCCCGCCAAATTGCTGCTCGCTAAAAACGTGCCCAGATTATATCATGCAGAGGGGTCTAATATCCAGGCACGTAATGTGTCAATCACTGCTTTAAAGAGCCCTAAGACCGCCCTGTTCATAACGCGCATTGCGCGTGCGGAAGCTAGCATCCCGGTAGTAGTGTAATTTACGTGAATATTTGAGGGGAATCCCCCGCGTTAGCCCAGTTAATTCAGGTTAATTTACATGTCAATAATATTACACGTGATGACGTGATGATGCAGGGCAAGTCTGTAAAGGTAAATAGATTAGCGGTTGTGAAAAGATAATTCAAGTTAAATCTGGTTAATTCCCAATAGAGGGATGAATAAACCGAACTTTCCTACCCGAAAAATTAATAAACTCTCTTTAAGACAAATATCTAATATAGCCATTATAACCGACAAACTTTGTTTAGTATAAAAAGGGAATCCATTTTCTCAATTAGCACCAAACTACTATTCGCCTCCGCATACAAAGCCCCAACTCCTCGAGGCAGTTACGACTTCATTTCGAATTTTCAAATATCCGAAATCCCTCTTTTAAACGATGTAATTCACTTCCCGATATACACGTATATATGTTTATGAGATGAGTATTGTCAACGCATATTAAGATTTTACTTGCATCCGGCATAGTACAATGTACTGATACGCTACATTTACACGATAGAGCGCTACAGCTAATTTTCTGACTTGGGACAATTACACTGGGCTCAAACTCCATGTGAACAAAGAAGAATATTTAGGATTTTGATCCATGGTTCCCAGATGGCCGGTCAATGAATGTCTGTATAGTCGTGGATTCACAACAGATTCGAATTTTGTTGTGAGCCGAGAAAAGTATCCAGATTTGCCGGATTTTTCCCTAAAACGAGTGGTAGACCTACGGCCCTTTACTGTGCTACGGTCCTCTTATTATGGAACCATATTTAGGTATTAGGCAAAATTTGTTATTACCAGATCAAAATAGGCAACTTCGTTACGTATAGAGAAGCTAGATTGTAAATTGTAAATAAGGAACAAAAATTCGACCACCACAAAGCATTTCGTGACGGCGGACAAGTGCATCATAATTAGTGTACAATATTCCCTTGGTCTACGACAAGGGCACTAAACCCCACAGGGAACAACTGGATTAAGTAGGTGTAGGGTAAGTAAGGACAAGATCTTTAAAGATACCCAAAACTTCCCATTGTGTAGCCTCCTCCACCACGGAAAAAAGACCACTGACGAAAACATACGGAGGAAATTAAATGGGGTTTAACGTCCTTCTGTTCTGCTCTGGCTGGGTTAATTAATACGGGTATATGGAAGAATATATGGAAGAGAACAATTTTCATGCTAGTCTTGTTTGGAATCTCCTTGGTATAGGGCCACAGCTGTCGGATACAGCTCTCAAACTATTTATTATTACTCTGCATTGTCAAACCAGTGCATTTTATTTCTGTTTAGATATGTGTGTGTGTGTAGCCATGCCTTTAAAAGTAGTGTGTGTGAAATTGCTTTATTTATTTAACGTCCGCTTCTATCTAAGTGATAACGCAGACAAAAATAGCACACCATACTGTCTAAAATACTGTACTTGTATTTAAATCAAATGACGAATTTTTAAATTACCCACAACTATTTTACTTTGAATTTTGACGATCCATGGTGCATAGTTTCGCCTAGAAACTAGTCATGTATGGAAGAGAACAATTATCATGCTAGTCTTGCCTGGAATCTCCTTGGTATAGGGCCACAGCTGTCGGATACAGCTCTCAAACTATTTATTATTACTCTGCATTGTCAAACCAGTGCATTTTATTTTTGTTTAGATATGTGTGTGTGTAGCCATGCCTTTAAAAGTAGCGTGTGTGAAATTGCTTTATTTATTTAACGTCCGCTTCTATCTAAGTGATAACGCAGACAAAAATAGCACACCATACTGTCTAACATACTGTACTTTTATTTAAATTAAAGGATAAATTTTTAAATTACCCACAACTATGCTACTCTGAATTTTGACGATCCATGATGCATAGTTTCGCCTAGAAAGTAGTCATACTCTAGTAAGTTTGTATTACGGGTGTCACACAGTTGGGCTCTCTTTTTGTTTGGTTGTATGTTTTGTATCTTCCTTGCAGTGCGTCGTCGTGGAAAATATTGATTGTGCAGAAGTTTGCAAGAGATTGTTCTCAAATAAAAGGCCAACGCTTTCATAATCTTTATTTTTTATCTCTCGTCTAAATATAACACCTAACATATCAAATGTCACGATAAGACTTGACGGTACTTCCCCTTCTCGTGCGGGGTTTAAATGCCCTTCGAGGTCGTATATCTGTTAATAAATGATGTATGACTATTTAGTTAAAGTACTATCATAAAACTGGTTTAAGGGTTGTCAGGGAAGACTTCGTCCATTATCGCCCAAACACCTAATATTTACAATCGAGTATATCTTTAAGACAAAATATCATTTATCATCAAGATTCATGATATTCGGCTAAGACACCGAGTCTACAGTGGCTTATCCTTGTAAAACCCCTATGTTGAGTGTATCTAAGTTGATGTTTGGTACGTTATATAAAACCATATTAGAGAGATATATTTTCACTGACACACTACGGAGCGGACTGAATCTATAGGATGCATGTTCACCTTCAGAATCTTACTTTTGACTTCTTTTCGGGTGTTGGGTGGGTTGGGGTTGCATATGGTTTCAAAATCGGGACATTTTGCCATAAATGTTTTCTAGATTTGTTTGGTTCATGTATATGCCTACCACAGAATGTATAATGCCATGGGTGTAAATAATGTCTTATGCTTTTCTAGCTTCATCCAAATATTATTGCATTTGATAATATGATTATAGTGTAGTATTTTGTTTTTTTTCTTCAAAATGTCATCTTAAGATACATTATGTAAGAGATACCTCTGTCTATTACAGTTCTTTTTTCGGGTTTTAAATTTTATATAAATTATAAATTAGCCATTTATTCACATTATCTTCATTAAACGTTACTGTCTTAGCCAACCTAGTTGATAATCAAAACTTCAAGCATTCATAACTTTGCTCAGAATAAAGTACGTGTAATTTGACTGAAATGTTCATTATGTATGTTTTTATTTTTCATTATCTTTATTTTTCAAACTACTACAACAAGAACGATCAACCCTTTATCTCAATAATACATACATAAAGTGGTTGAAAATAGACTGAGTTTAATTTGTCTCATCGATTTCCTTCTTCAAAATTTAACTTGAAATGGCACATGGACGTAGAACAAGTTATGGTAAAAACTTATTCTACAAATTACAATCGATTGGTGGATTTTACAGGCAGTGTTTCAGGTCAGGTGTGCGTAATAATACATCTCAACTACAATCTCAACTATTTCGTTTCATTTTTTATAGTTCAAAATTTCATTTTACTTGTCATTACTACACAGGATCTGGAAGAGTTGTTATCATTGGCGTGATCTGTATGCTGTGAAGGATTAGCCAATGAAACGGTCTGTTACGGCGAGGGTTTGGCGTGAGCTGCACGGAACTGTGGGTAATCCACAAGAAACATCAATGCTGATTGGTTAATCAAATATCTGACATCATAAATGAGCAGATTGTTCCCTCTCGCAGACTGACTGGAGCTTCACTTTGCAATAACTAGACATTTTCAATGTTATTGCACACTTTTGCTGGTTTACGCCAGTTTTAGTAGAACTCGTAATAGAGAAGTGGGGCGGGGTTTCTGTGCAATAACAACGAGCATGTTGAGCAGGTGTCAATGTTACAAGTCATTTAAAGAACTCGTCTTCTACTATTCTTTTTTGATATCAAAAACTTATCAACACTAATCAATAATGTACAAAAAGAAAACAAAACTCGGCAACGTCTCGTTCTTTTTCACATTTATCGACTTGTGTTGATGTTTTTTGAAATCAAAAAAAGACTCGTAGGAGGTTTTCTATATAACAGTTTTCTATCGTTTTAATATGAAATAAGAGATAGCGTGCATAAAAGTTACAGGGGAAACACCTGGATTATTATTCTAGAAAACGTATATTTCTTCAAATTTTTATATTTTTTTCTTTATTGATACTGGCGTGGGAATATGAGATGACATAATACTTTTTCAGGGAGTTTTTGTTGGCGTTGACACGCTGGAGTAAGCACACAGGATTATTTACTCAAGGAGATACGCCATGAAAAAGACACCGTGCACTTGATTGTAAGGGTTTTTAAAGGGCTGCTATACGCAAGAGTAAAGATGACCTTGGTAGTATTTTTGAAATAACGCGAGTATGCTATATGTCACACCACTGTATCGACAGTTGTAGGTGCTGTGTCACGTGATATTGATTTGAGGACAGGCATATCCACTTGAGATATCTTAAGTACGTGTTGAAATCCTAGAGTAATATTTACTTGGATTATTATTAAGCTGCATTATTAAATAACAGCGAACTGATATTTTAAAGATACGTTATGTAATACCCAAATCTGTCTATTGCAGGTCTTCTTTTGGCTTCAAATGTTATATAAATTATTAATTAGACATTTATTGACATGAAAAGACTATAATCAACTCTCTAGGTTATCGGATGCTCGTGATTTTTAATGGATTAGAACAATATCGTCATTTAATAATTTAATTTAAAACTGACTAATGGGACTTTGTTTATTATCGTAGCAACTGTACTTGACAACCGGGTATACAATTAAAACTTCATACATCCACAACTTCGCTCGGAATAAAATAATTTCAGTGAATCTAAATTTTACATACTGTATCTTTAAAAAAATAGCAATGGCGAACTAATACTGTAACCAGGCCCGTAGCAAGCCCCCAAAATGGTCTAGGGTGCTCCCCCCTCCCCCCCCCCCCGAGAAATTTGGAAAATAGGTTTTGCACCCGAGGAAAGGAACTATGTAAATGGCGGAAAATTTCAATTTTGAAACTGAATTTGCGTATTATGATATTTTGATATAAACATTATAAAAATTTGAAGGAATTCATCCGTGGGCGCC